AATTGCGACGGACAACTGCATCATCGTTGGTTACTAAAAAAAAACCTACACTTCGCGGACGAATTTCAATGTAAATGCGAATTACCGAGTACTGTATGCGATTACTGTTACCGAGTATCCTCATATTCATCACATATTCATGATCGAAGTCGCACGATCAACATTTCAATTAGTAACTTAATGGATCGCGATTTGCTTGCTAATCGTACAACATTCAATTGCAAATTGTATGATGAGCGCGATTTCTCGCGATCAGACTACATGAGTTTTCTACTTTTTAGATTAGACTAAATGGAGGCTTTGATGTTTCACGGACATGTCACTGTAATTCGCATATCTAATCCGAAATTCCGCGATATCTAATAAGAAACTTAAAAAACAATAAATAAACCACCCTCGAGAACCTCAAGAGCTCTAAAAAATATGAAATAATTTGAATCAATATTTCTATGTATCTGCAATCCTAATATTCTGATGATATTAGAAGTGAAAACTCAACTGATCAAGCTAATAATCATATCTTTTTTTATTTAAAATAAAAATAGTTATATAGTTAGTTATATACTTAGTTACATACTATATTTTTGTCTTTTCTGCATCGACTTTTAATATCATATTCAGAATATCAGGATCACTTACGACAGAATTATAGAGCTCTCTACATAGGAATATATTCATCCAAAATTATTACATATCTTTTAGGACTTCTGAAGTTTTTAGATTTCGATGTTTTTTCTCTTTAAGTCTTTTATTTTTTGTATTATTTAATTATTTGCCAAAAGTTTGTTTTTTAAGTTGATTAAAAATCAATTTTGACTTATGTTAACATGAAATATTTTTTAAATAAAAGAAATATATTGTCTTAAAATCTTAGTTCTTTATGAAAGGAATTGTTTATCCTATTTAAGAGTCGGTTGTTCTAATTTGTTGGTAAGTTAACTGATAATTAAATCGCATGTCTGTCTTTGTCTAAGTTGAAAGAAAAAAATGAAAACAAACATATGATTTAACTATTAGTTAACTTACCAAGAAATTGGAACAACCGGCCTTTAAATAGGATCAGCAATTTCTTTCATAAAAAACTAAGGTTTCAAGATAAAATATATTTCTTTTATTTAAAAAATATTTCATGTTAGCAAATATGTTATGAATATCCACCACACAAATCAGTACTTTTATTTCTGATATATCTTTTCTGTCAGTGTACAAAGGATTGCATAAATGCCTTGCTAATTCTTCCTTTTTATCTCTAGATCTTATCGTTGTAAGACTTACAACGATATTCACACGCGCGCACATTACTCCGAAAAGTTGGAACAGAGATGAGAGCACGGACATTACGTAATCATCAGACGACAATTCTTTTACTAATTGTATCCCTTGTCTTCCTCTTTTTCGTTCTCACTCACGCGAGACGGCGCGGCTAGGTGGAATTGAATCTCGCGACTCTCGCGAAAAAGAATGAAATAAGGAAACGCTGTACACGATAACACACACACATGTCGTTATGTGTTTATGCTCAAGGTCCTTTCAAACGATAGACTCCTCTGACACTCGCAAGGACGCATTTCGCCGCGCGGCGTCTCGTCTTAGGGAAAGACAATCTCTTTCGTGTGCGCAAATTAACGCAAACTTCCGAATTTCCGCGGAGTGATCGCGGAATATCGCTCTAGCGAGCTCGACCGCACGGGTAAGAGATAATGCGTGAGCGAAGCCTCGACTATAAATCTGCGGCGGCGTACATCCAACGGATGTACGGCGCTACGTACATTTGTCATGTCTAAATCCAGAAATCCACTGGACTTCCGCCGCGCACCTCTGGCGATGTCGCGTGGTTGCGATTCGGGTACAATGATCTACCGCCGTCGCGCTATCAGTCAATCCTACGCGAAATGTCAACGCGTCTAAATGCGCCGGCTAAAACGGCCCGTCAAACGGGCCCGAAACGTCGTCGTCGTCATAACGTCGTCGATCGTCCCCCGACTACCCCATTAAAATCGCAGTCGCGAATCGTCACAGAAATGTATGCGGGTACATTCGCTTTCCTACGATCCGCACACATTTTTCCCAATAAATTTTCAATCTGGGATCAGTGTTAATCGATTGAAAGTTTAATACAGTAATCGGCGAGTCAGTCATCAAAATTAGTCACAGATGTGAGATAACATGAATTCAAGAGCTCTCGGTAGTCTATAGGCGTAAATTAAAGAAGTTTCTTTGAAGTTTTTTTCACAAAGAAATTATAAAAGACGCATTTTTGAGTTCTTCAATATGTTTTTATTATGTTCTGAAAAAGTTACGCGATTTTTTTCACAATTGAAACTCGCACATTAATTAAGTTATAAAATGCAACACGATATGCTATCGTTTCATATTAATTTCTTATATTTTACTCGTATATTGAGTTGCGGTGCAACGTGTCCTGCTAGCACATATAATATAGCAGCTTGTAGTGATCCGAAACAAAAAGCAAGTAAGATTCTTATTTTATGTAAATGTGGCTATCGTCTAAAATTACAATCATTGGACTAACCCAAAATTTAACTTAAATTATAAATTTCACAAAATAGTGGATTCGAAAAACAGATTGTGATCCCGACATTTTGTCAGATTTTGGTGTAATCCGATTCTAGATAGATGATTCTAGTGTAGATGATTCTAGTTCAGACAATAAACAAATTTATATAAAAAAAGTATCTTATCTGCCTTTCCGTTTTAGATCACTACAAGTAGCTGAATTATGCACGCCAAAAAGACACAAATGTGTTATGCCGCGTCAAGTTTACAAACCACCCAAAGCCTTTAATCGACTAATAGAATTAATTATTAATCAGAGAATAATTGATTATGTTAAAGTTTGATTCAATCAATCGATTAAATTACTCGTATTTATATATACGACGATTGATTATTTTTTATTGTTGATTTACCGATTATTTCAGTCAACTGAAATTTTGATCGACTAATACCCTACACTACTTTAAAGAGAAATGTGTAAGATAATATACGTGAGATAATATTGTTATTCTGTCGAATAATCAACAGTCATAAAAGACACACGAATAACCAAATACGATACGTACGACTGGAAATTTCTAGCGATCCATATTTGATATTTGTCAACAAATTAACACTGGCAAGTATATACGGCCTCATATATGCCTGACAGAATATTAGACACCAATCGATTGAAATTTTATTTGACTAAAATAACCGGCAAATCAATAATCGGAATAAATAAATCATTATACATGCAATCACGAATAATTTTATCGATTGATGAATTTAATTATTAATCAGAGTATAATCAATCAAAGTTTGACTAATGAATTTCGTCGTTCATTTAAATTATTTGTAATTTTATATACGATGATCGATTAATTTTGAATATAAATTTGTCGATTATTTTAGTCAACTAATATTTTAGTCGATTATATCTGACACTGACGCAATGTTGGACATTAATCAATTAAAATTTTCTTTGACTAAAATAATTAGAAAATTAATAATCAAAATAAATAAATCATCATAGATGTAATCGCAAACAATTTGATCGATTAATAGAATTAATTATTGATCAGTGTACAATCAAATCGAAATTTCATTAGTAATTGATTTCATTAACCGATTAGTTTATTCATGATTTTATATAATTTTATTTTGACTAGATTTGTTGATTATTCTAGTCAACAAACATTTTAATCGATTAATCCCCAAAACTGATGCCTAGACTGCTATTCCATACATACCTATCGACATTTGTCGATTCAGTACGCTAACGACGTCTGTCCACAAATAGTAACGATAAAGAACGATATAGAACGATTGAGAATGTTCGTCGTTTATGAATGACGACGTCACTATTTTCAACGAGGTCTTGTACGTGACGACAATATACCGATAACATTTTTGAAAAACGATCCTACAAAGTTCAATCAATCAAGCGAAAGATAGCAAAAGAGATTTAATTTGTTTCAAATATTTATATAATTTTTGGATATAATTTAATGTCTTTACTTACTCAGGTTTTTATTTTTTAATTCAATTTGTTATAAAACTTGCTATTTTCATAGTTTATTATCTATATTATTTATCTATTATTATTTATCTATTATTATTTATCTATAATTATTGATAATTGTACACACACATACACACATATATATATATATATATAATTATTCGTAATTATGACAGATACTAACGTTAGCGTGCTGGCAGTTATTACAAATTACAAGTTGCGTATATGTAATAGTAAGCTACAAACATGGAAGCATGATAATGTGTACTACATTTATGGTAATTTTTCCTATGTTCATGGTCATTTTATCATATCTTACTATAACTTTTATCACAATGCCAGTTTATTTCTGGAGAACTAAAATTGTATTGTAATTTTTACTATAATATTCTCTCCGTGTATACGATTTTCGACGATCATGTTCACATGATGTAAAGTAGGAAATCGCACAAGTAACTCCAATTATAGTAGCCAAACATACATTACACCTACCGTAGGTGTGTATAGAGACTATTACACGCGCATTTTATTTTCTCACGATACACGTAATACAGCGCGCACGGTAATGGTGTAGTGTACACGCTGGGGACGTAATACCGGCTCGGGAGCTCGTTACACAAGCGGTAACAAACAAGAAAGAAGAGATAAACAATTTATAAAAAAAGGTCCCGTAGAACAAACGTGGACGCGAGCGCGGATGCGGATGATAATTACGTAATGTTAATTTTTACGAGAATGTACGACACGCGCGGGCGCGTTTACGTAACAACCAACGACTCTCGCGCGCACAACGTTTACCTTACTGCGTTTACCGCCGTTACGCGAATCTCTTTTAAATTGTTGCGCGAGGTACTTTAATATTTCAACAAATAGCATCTCTGAGTTTCGTCGATAGAAGGGGGAGAAAAAGAAAAGGAGATAGAGGAAGGCAGGAAGAAAGACGGGAATGAAAAGGAACACGCGTTCTTTCTGTTTTCAGGACGATGATGGCCAACATGCCCATTATCTTTGTCCTGTTCTCGCTCTCCTGGGTGGTCGGGATGGTGATCTTCGCTAATTACGCTGACTGCGACCCGCTGAGCTTGGGTTATATCAACAAAATCGACGAGATCGTGCCGTTTTACGTGGAGGACAAATTTCTCAACGTGCCTGGCCTGCTCGGCCTCGTGATGGCGACTCTCTTCAACAGCGCATTGACACTGGCCGTGTCGAATCTCAACTCCCTGGCGACGGTGACATTCGAGGACTTCATCAGTCATATACCGAGGTTAAGCGACCTCAAGGACACGCAGCAGCTGCGCTTCATCAGGGCCATTGGCGTCATCTACGGTATTCTGATTATCTGCATCAGCTTCTTGGTGGCCATGCTTTCCGGCGTCATAGAGTCGTCGATGCTGATGACGTCGGCAACATCTGGGCCGCTTCTCGGCGTGTTTCTGCTTGCCATACTGGTACCCTGCGCCAACTGGAAGGGCGCCGCCGCCGGCATGATCTTCAGCCACGTAATGTCACTGTGGATCACCTTCGGCCATCTGAGCATCGACACTACGACCAAGCTGTTGCCATTGTCAACGGAGGACTGCCACAACGACACCTTCTCGCCGTGGGTCACCAACAAACCGATCCGCCTGGAATACTCCACGCCGAACATCACCACCACGACGAACATGTACGAATACGTCACGCCGTTGCCGACCGCCGCCACTGACGAATCCTCGAATCCCCTGTACGCTCTCTACAGCATCACCTACATGTACTACGCTCTGATCGGCAGCCTGACCACGGTGGTCGTCGGCATCATCGTCAGTCTGATGACAGCCGACCTGGAGGCCGACTCGTACGAGCAGCACTTGCTGCACCCGATAGCGCGCAACATAGCTAATCTATTCCCTGGCAAACGAGCATTCTACGACGGCAGCAGTGATCGCAATAAAACCGAGAGTACGAACGACACCGTCATCTCGATCACGACAACCGCCTCCGGCAGCACCGAGAAGATGGCGCCGCTGCAGGGCATCACGGACGATAATGGCAAGTTGCACGTGGACAACAGCTACGTGGAGAAGCTGAATGCACTGAAGAACGTGTCACTCGACGTGACTGGCGAGATAGGCAAAAGCACGAACTTGTAATTCCCCACCGGTCTCGAGAAAAAGAGAACGATCTCTCCACGTTAATCTCTCGACGCCGTCGAGGAAAGAGGCGACATACTGTGATGATGTCGAACTTGCTCGGTGTCGGCCGAGCAGTTTGCGCGTGTTTGCCGCCGTGGCGGATTTTATTATCCCGACATGCGGCGGTGACGGGCGAGCCGCGCGTGCAAAATAATTACGAGCGCGGGTCGAGAACGAAAGTTCCCCCTCGATTACACCGGCCGAACCGCACTCGCATTCAGCTCGAAATAACGCTCGAATGAAGGTAATTCAGCGAGGTGCAGCGCTGTGCGACACTTGTAACTTGCATGTGCCAATTACAGTTAACTGCGAGACGTGGCTGACGCGTATACATTTATATGGGGTGTCTGACAATCAATGACACACGGCCGTTGTATGCAGGTAGAATGCGACAAGCTGAACACAAGACTCCTCTATCGTTTCGCAAACAATCATGTCAAATTTTGTGTTAAGAGTTAAATGATTGTGCGCAATAATGCATCAAATTGCTTTAATTAATAACTATAATAACAAATCTATGTGTGGTCTCACATTCGTAAAACGGTAGATGATTGTTTTGTTCACTTTGACCTTTAAGCGTACACAACGACAGAGGTCATTATCACAACTCATCTGCCGTATTGCGCGCGATCATTCGTCACTTTTCTTTAATAACTCAAAATTTTACGTGATTGCAAAATAGTAGAAAAATTTTCTATTCAGTTTATTGAGTTCTATCTGCACACAACGGATATATCATCAAATGTCAGACACTATGTATACATATATATGTTATGCTTACGTACAGTTTCATAAACTGTAACCATGTCGAAATTTTAACCCTTCGTACGACTTAAACTTCCTAACATTTGTATATTCTAAAGGATCAGTGTACATTTAATATATATTGAAACTGAAGTAGTCTAGTTAGCACCTCCGAATGGCCAAAACTGCATAGAATGGCAATTGCAGGTTCTAAATAGGATCTCTCAATAAAGTTAATAGATTCAAACAGGATCAAAAGGGGTTGATATAGACATCTCAGAGTATCAAAGTAAACATTAAATGAAATACTGAAGTTAAAAGTAGAATTAAAAGTTCGAATTCGGGTATTCAGAAATGAACGCGCGTGACTCAATAGGCGAGTGATTATCAAGTATACAGGCTTGGATCGGACCGACGCATCTCACCGTTCGCGGGACGATTATCGTATTCCGCGCACGTGCTCGGGAAGAGCCCGGAAGCCGAGGGTTACACAACGATGCTGCTGCTGCTGCGACGGGAACTGCTTCGAAGGAACGGTCGTTTCAGCGGGGAGTAATCGAGAACGCGTATATACAACTCGACACGACGGTACAACTCTATCACGAGGACCGATGACGACCCGGTCGACGGACGGCGGGGTGAATTTTCTCTCGCCTCGGCGATTACCACGCGCACGACACCACGCCATGATCCCGTTCCGGCGCGGCCGACTCTATCACATATTCTCGTCTATACTCCCGTCGCGCCTCCCCCGATAATCCAATAGGGACCAATTTCCTGCGCCCTATTGGTCTCTGTTGATCTTAGGATTCTAAGGATATATCTTAAGAATTAGGGTATAGACCCTCTACACACATACGTATGTACACAACGACCATCAATATCGATGTACCATGTAGGCAGGCGGCATGGAGAACCGTCCTATGTATCATAAGCGAAGATAACCCCTGTCAATTTCCTAAAAGCGCTGCACAAGAACAAGCAGAGAGAGAAAGAGAGGAGGAAAGGGAACAGTGCAATCCGTCTCAATAAAGGAGGAATATTCGAGCATTTCGCGCTACTTTACGGCATGAAACTCGACGACTCGACAACTCGACGACTCAACTCGCGCGAATCGCCATATATGATATTGCAACAAAACTATTATTTATAAGTTATTCGCCATTGAGCGAGAATATTTCATCGCACGAAGAAACGATCCTATACGAGGGTTCCTCTAGGATAATTTTTAGATCTTGAATTCGCCTCGGACAATCTTTAAAATTCGAAGAAACGCGTTCGTTCTCCGAAAGAGCGATTAGAATTCAATTCTGGCGCCGGCGGTCTCGCCGCGAATCGTAGATCGTCTGAAGCTCCAAACTAGATTTTAAGCTTAATTTAGCAATAGATAGTATCACGTTTCACAAATTTCTCACGCGCTTCCGTTCTGTGTGCATCGTGCGTGTGTATGCACGCATGCATAACATACAAATCGTCACGAGGAGAGAAACTTTAGCATTAAACTTTACTTTTATACCTCAGAGAAAGCGCGAGTGATTCTACAAACAGGACATAGTCGTTGCAATAAATATATATGATGGAAATGATGTCCAATTCAGATTTGTGATTGTTGAATTGATTCGTATGATCGAGAGCCTGTGTATTTATTGTTTCAAAAATAAAATTGGCGGTTTTCTATTCATCTCGTAATTATTTCCTCATGATCCTTCAGACAAATTCATTCCCACGCAAAACACCATTTATTCTTGTTCTCTCCACGTTATTAGTACTATCTGCTTATCAAGAAACATTTATCAAGTGAACTCAACGAATCAGTGTGAAATTAATGGAAACATTTAACTCATTTAACTCATTAGTAAAAAGGTATCCCCAGATAGACAGATGTACGTAAATTCGACAGTAAAATTTTATTAGTTGCGATTTGTAAAGGTTGCGTCCTTCATGAATGTTTCACATAAGAGAGAAAAAATATTTAAAAAATAGAAAATATTTACTCAATATTTAAATCTATATTTAATATATTTAAATCTAAATTTTTTTATTTAAATAAACAATTTCTTTCATAAAAACTACGGTTTGAAAAATATGTTCTTATTTAAAAAATACTCTATATTAATATAAGTAAATATATTATTAGTACTCATTGAATAAATACTTTTTATACTTGGATATTTTTTTATTCAATATACAGTCTTTATATTTATCAACTAAAGTGATGAAATAAAAATACGAAAGAAATACAAAAAAATTCTCAAAATTTGCTCAAAACGATGTCATGCAAAATGTATTATGAAATACATTATAAAATTAAATATTTAATAAATAAATTAATATTTAATATTAATATTAATATTAATATTAATATTAATTAAACTTTTAATAAATTTGTTATTGCACTAATATACACAAAGTTTACGTTATTGTATGACGTAAGTTTAACAAAAAAACATTGTAGAATTTCTATTATCAATCATCTCGCGTCACGATAATCATAAAAACTGATCTGGGTCACTAAATGTTTTCTTTAGATCATCCAATAAATATAATCTCATCCTCAACGACATCCTCTTACATATGACCTTGAGAAAATTCTTCTAAAATCCAAAAAAAGAAAAATATTCTAAACACAGTGTTATCTCTCTTCATTGAAAGAAAAATATTCTTTCGGCAAAAGTTTTTACTTAAAACATAGGATTACAAAAAATAGCAACTTGCAATTAGAGTTCTTTTTCTGATTATTAGAATATATCTCCCTTTTCGTCTCACAAAAATCCTCTTACGACCAAGTATGAGAGGATTCCGCTAAGGTGATTATTCTCTTTGGATGATCGATATCAAATGTAATAAAATGTATCAAAAACGATTTCTACGATCTTATCCGCTTTCAATAAAAAATCGCAACTATCTGCTTCCATGATAATAGCAAAATCAACGGATATGTCCAACTTCTTATATAGATGGGTTAACTTTGTTTTGAATATTTATCCGAAGCCTTGACATCTAACGCGACATTCGAACGCTAAAGATAATTTTCAAGCATCTTTCCGCGCTAGAAAATAATTCTTTCTCTCATCGTCCAACAAATATCGCGAAAAGATGCGCAACATCGAAAACACCGGTTCACAAGTAAACCTACTCAAAAATTACACTCCGATTTCTTTCTAATTTAACACAAATGTAGAAGTACAAAAAATATTTAAGTCATATTTTGGCCCGCTTTGAGTTTCACGCATAGTGTATAGCTTTTTAATGTTATCACTCCTATCATCAACAAATATAACGAAAATGTGTAAGAAATAAAATTGAATACAAGATATAGTTAAATAATTTTAACAAAATCGGCATAGCTGAGACACGAACCATTCTAAATTTCTTTAGCCCAGATTCCAACCGAAATAATTTAAATCTGTGCTAAATTAATAAAAAATGGTTCGAATCTCAGTTAAACCGAGAAATCCGACAATTTTAATTACAATTTTAACAAAATCAACATAACTGAGACACGAACCATTCTAAATTCATAATTTTCATTATTTTCATTCATAATTATATGAATGTATAAAATGTATCAAATGTATAAAATTATTTGTATAAATGATAAAATGTTTAAACAAAACATAAAAAGTTAAAAATTATTTATACAAATAATTTCTCGGTTTAGCCGAAATTCGAACAATTTTGACTAATTTAACATAAATTTAAAATATTTCGGTTGGAATTTCGGCTAGAGAAATTTAGAATAATTCGTGTATAAACTATGCCGATTTTGTTAAAATTATATGACTATATGTTGCATTCAATTTTATTTCTTATGCATTTTTGTTATACTTGTTGATAATAAGAGTGAGAACATTAAAAAGCTATAAACTACCCGTGAAACTCAAAGCTGTCTAAAATGAAAAAAGATGACCGAAATATTTTTTGTACTTCTACATTTGTGCCAAATTAGGAAGAAATCGGAGTGTACCTTTTAAATAGGTTTACTTATCAGTCTATTGATTCTGTAACTTTTAACAACAATGTCGTCGTCGTTATGTTTTTGCGCTTTTTTTTACCATCTATTATACCTGCGCAACGATAACGACGCTGTCGTTAAAAGTTATAGAATCAGTAGGCTGCTTTATTGAACGGGACGATTCTGTACGACGCACTCGACCACGATAGATTTGTTTGTCAGTTCTGTGAATAATCTAATCGACCAGTAAGTGAAAGATAGCCGCGGTATTACTATTCCGTTTAGATCACGACGGAAACGATTGTCCACGTATCTACGTGCAACTTATCCGAGCAGATAAAGCGCGAGTTACGCGCTGCAGCTGTTAGCAACAACTACATGTACTGAGAGAAAAATATTTACTGGCTTAACGAAATATCTGTAGCCGCAACAAATGGTTTGTTGATATGGGACAATAAATGACACCGTAATGGAAACAAAAGATCTGTTACTTTCAATTTCCTGCTTTAAGCAACACTTCTGTAATGAAGACATAACTAACCACCTAACCTAAATAAAACAAATGTGTTTGGTATCTTAGCCAACGTACGAGTATGTGTGTTAAAATAACTAATGATGAGAAATGATTTGCACCGGTGACTGTTCAATCTGTTCCCTAACGATCATCTAACAACGTGTTTTTATTGTTAACCGAGGGATTGCTTCGAGGGATTTTTCTCAGTGCGTGGACAACAAGATCCTGTGTGGATAACAGATTCTGCTAATGTTGTCAATTCCGACTACCCGGGACTTCCACGTATTACCTGAATACTCGAGTACCTGTATCTTTTGGATACTACTCCAATATATTAACTTGAGTAGCTTTACGCCTACTGGGACCGAGAGAAGCTTTGTGTATTTTGCACATATGAACAACTTGCGGCTAAAGTTCACTTAATAAATACATGAAACAATTTGATCTTTCAGGTTATCGATTTCTCAATAATAACAAATAACGAACATCGTATACTCCTAACTATTTACTATCCGTTTGTCCGACTAGTACCCGCGAGTGTGAGCACCCGTGTTGTACAACATCGGATCTACTGTTGCAGAGGGAGCTCCTCAGCCGGACTGGAAATTCAAGTTCACCGTATGCAGTCAGGTGTACGATAGAACCGTGAGCGTTGGCAACATCGGAATGACCCTGACGGTAGTAGTAGTAGTATCGCCGGTGTACACACTCTACCCGTCGCCACAGAGAGGAGAGCGGTGTAGTAGTGAAGTATCGGCGGTGGCCACCACCACAGCCAGTTACATTCGCGAAAACACAAGCCGCTCGCTTTAGTGCCGCGCGCGTTCTCAAGTCGGTCGCTCGCAAATCTGTCTGCGCGCACACGCGAGACGATAATATCGCTGCTGGTGCTGGTGTTGCTGCTGCTGGCATACCGAGCGATAACAGTACAAAGTCCCGCTCTTATCGCTTTTCTTCTTTCTCGCCCTCCCACCTCGTTCGCCGTATCTGTTCTTCTCTCTCTTTCTCTTCCTCAGTCTTCTTCGTTTTTTCATCTTCCTACATTCACCCAGTGATATGCATTCGAACTCTAGCAAGCAAGCGTTTTTCCCTCTCTACTTACGTACACAGATCGCTCTGTCCATCCGTGTGACGACGATCATCATGTGAATAGACAGAGTAGTCTGTGTGCGTAAATGGAGGGGAAAAACGCTTGCTTACCGGGGCTTGAATGCACATCACTGCAAAATTCATCTCACTCTCTCTCTCTCTCTCAATCTCTCCCCCTCGGCAGCTGTTTCGTCGACGTTGCAGAGTGAACGTTACCAGTTTCAGGTTTGAAGCGCGCCGCGAATACGGCGTCGATCCTGCGCTCTTCGCTTTTTCGAGGCGTTCGATCGGGCTGCGAGAGAGAGAAAGAGAAAGAGAGGGGAGCCACCATTTTGACGTGCGGCCGGCAAGAGCGCGTGGAACAGCTGCACACGCCTGTCTATTTCCGTCGGCTATTTCCCCGTGAAGAGAGAGTGGACCTCGTGTTTTGGTACTGCACGGGCGTACAGAGGATAATACGGTTACGTGTCTCTCACTCGCCCTCTCACCCTCTTCGCTATCTCGCACGGAGATTCTCCAGGAGCACGGCGTGGGTGCGGCGGCGACGACAGCGGCATCATGTCGGTGGAATCGAGGTAAATGCGCGGTGAGCTTCGCATACACGTGCTCCCGCAGCACGACGTGTGCGCCGGTTAGACGCTCTCGACGGAAACGCGAGATCCCTTTGACTTCGATAGTTCAGCACGTAAGAGCTCGATCGCCCACGCGAACCTTTGATCGCGATCATTAGCCGTCCGGATATACTTTCGATGACAACGGAAAGAAGACGCTGATAAATGCGATATCTGCCCCCGCGAGTTCTCGCGAGTTTGAATTATTTGTTCTCTCTGCACTGTCAGAAGAAGCCGAGATCGCATTTGGGAAGAGAAGTGTGTGCATTAGCATACTTTTCAATTAAGGGGATGCTGAAGCTAAAAACTTTACCGACAGAATACTAATATTTCTCAGCTAAGTTTTCATATTGCTTGCTACAGAATCACAAATGTTTTTACGCGATGAAAATACATACAGAAATAAATAGGAATATTGCTCAATATGTCACGGAAATGAAAAAAATTTTGAATGTAAAATCTCAAGCCGTCAGTGTAATATTTGCCTGATTCAAAAGTTTCGCAGCACGTGCCGAAAGTGTGAATGCTCCAAATATAAACATTGCATTCGTATCTGAATTCAGAAGTTTAAGAATGACCGAAAAGTTTGCAGAAAGATTTTTACATATGCGTGAGATTTTCCGCTGAATATAGTAAAACGGAATAGTAAGACCACGGCTATCTTTCACTTACTGGTCGATTATTCACAGAACTGACAAACAAATCTATCTTGGTCGAGTGCGTCGTACAGAATCGTTCCGTTCAATAAAGCAGCCTACTGATTCTGTAACTTTTAACGACAGCGTCGTTATCGTTATGTTGTCGTTGCGTAGGTAATAGATAATAAAAAAATGCGCAGCAACTAACGACGACGACATTGTTGTTAAAAGTTACAAAATCAATAGACTGACAAGTAAACCTATTCAAAAGATACACTTCGATTTTTTCTAATTTGGCACAGATGTAGAAGCAACACATATTTACGTAAATTCTGTATGCACAAGAAATACAAAAAAGATAATGTGATTATGTTAGTGACGATCGTCATCGATATTATTCCAGTTCATCATCGACTTCAGCATCCCCTTAATATTCCTCTTGAATTTTGTATGCTCATAATTCCTCACACAACACTTCAATTATAACGAATATCTTGTCGTTCGTTATCTTGATGATAACGAGGAACAGACGCTGATAAGTATGACATTCACGCATGTTTTGTATTTTTCGAAGAGAAAATCGATATTGTGTTCAAAGAAAGAAATGTTTTTTAAATTTTGCATGCTTGCAATTTCTCGCACAGCATTTTAATTACAATTATTAACCGTCCGGATATCTTCTCAATAATAATGAAAGAAAGCGCTGATAAACGCAACACGTGCTTTTAACGTAGAGGAAAATTCTCACGCTTTCAAGTTATTCTTTTCTTCTTTCTTCTTTGCATTTTCCAAAGTAAAAATCGTTGTCACGAAAAAAAATAGGGAAAACCAAGTCTAAATAGACACAAAGGTATATTGTTCATGTGCTTTTTTTTCAATATTTACCGTGAAAGGATACATTAACGTACCCTTTTTTTCTAAGTTTCGTACACACATAATTTCTCGTGCAATATTTCGATTACAATTATTAACTACCTGTATATTTTCTCCACGATAACGGTCAAGATGATGATAAACGCGACACGTCCCTGGTAGAGATTAATCGAAGCGTCCCAAGTCTGTAAAGGCATTCTAGTTAGGCATGTCCCAAGTTAAGTCTGCCTTCGTTGGGCCTAGACATGTCCAAGAAAGGCAAATTCGGAATGGAATTTTGTAAATAAGCCTAAGTGGGCTTTGCCTTTACAGTTCCTAGATAGAAGTGAGGAAACTGTGCAACCCTTTCCAGGCTCTATTTTAAGTTTTTACTTGGGATGGTTCTAACAGTGTGAGTAAGAATTCTTCAATTTTTTCGCATTTTTTTTTAAGAAGAAACTAAAATGTTCGGAAAAGGAAGTACATATTAACGTATTTTTTTCACAATTTTGTATGCTTGCAATTTCTGGCACAGCATTTCAATTATAACTATCTGGGTATTTTATCGATGATAACAAGCAATCGACGCACTTAAAAGCGATACGTGTTTTCGAAAACGCAAATGAGAATCCTCATTGTTCGGATTATTTCTTTTACCTTCATTTTCCAAGACGGATATCGCATTCAGAGAGATAAGTATACTACTGTGTCCAAAAAGTAAGGTGACATTGCATTTATTTCGAAAATTCTTTATTTATTCTTGCAAATCAATTTCGTCCCCTTCAAAGTAATCCCCCCCTGATATAATACACTTATTCCAACGGATTTTCCAATCTTCGAAACAGTTGTAATAATCGATTTCAGGAATGGCCTTTAGCTCCTTCTTCGCAGCGGCTTGAATCTCTTCTATCGACTCGAAACGGTGTCCCCGGAGCCAGAAGTCGCATGGAGCCAAATCAGGTGAATACGGTGGTTGTGGAACGATATTAGTCGAGTTTTTGGCTAAAAAATCACGAATAATCAGCGCAGTGTGTGACGGTGCATTATCGTCACACAGTTAGCCGCTGCGAAGAAGGAGCTAAAGGCCATTCCTGAAATCGATTATTACAACTGTTTCGAAGATTGGAAAATCCGTTGGAATAAGTGTATTATATCAGGGGGGGATTACTTTGAAGGGGACGAAATTGATTTGCAAGAATAAATAAAGAATTTTCGAAATAAATGCAATGTCACCTTACTTTTTGGACACAGTAGTACATTAGCGTGTTTTTTTTTCTTTCGGAATTCTCTATGCACGTAATTTCTGTGCAGTACGTATGGAAATACGCGTGTTGCAAGTTCTTACAGCAGTTGTGCTGTTCACGAATACATTTTCCCGAGCATTGCTGCTATTTCGAGAAGCGACAAAGCAGCAACCACAATCGCTCCTCGGCTCGGTAACCGTCGGCTGTCATTACGAGGCACGGCGAAGCTGCGCAATTGCCGGATAATTCGGAATCCCACGGTAGATCGCAGGTTCTCGCTTGTTAATAATTGAGCAGTCCGCGTCGAAAATACGACGTAAACAAATCTGCCGGCGGATCCGCGCGAACTCGCTCGCTCGCGCAGCGCTGAAGGGGGATGCGCGAATTTCTCTGCGGCGCGAATTTCCGCCTGGATTCGCGCTGTTCAACGCGGTAGACAGTGGTGACTCAAGCGTCCCGAGGCCACAGAGTTCCCGGTATCATTAGCTCGCACGGCTTAGAACACGCCGGCTGATTGATTGCGCCCGGTTGCATGTTCGCGGTACGCGCAATGGAGAAGTTAGCCTCGTCGACTGGAAAACTGAAGTAACTCGATATCGAACTCCGTGGAAAATAACGCGATAGTTTCCGCGATGTTACTATTATCTCGCCTCTAATTCGATTTGCAAAACTCGAAAGCGTCGCAACGAGCCTTGCGCAAAGTGCACACAGACAAATGCACACTTTAAGTGTTACTCGTTTCAGGTATTTCATAAGTATATTGCATAAGTAGAGTTACACATCCGTAACTTTACACGGAAAAAATATGTGAAAACAATTACGTTAAAATTATATTTCTTTTTACAATGTTCTCGGTAAATCTAAACAGTAATCAATACAGTAGAATGGTAGCGTAAATTAATATAGAAATGGTAAATTTGTCGGTTCATTTGGGGAACGCGATGTATAAAAATATTCAAGCAATCGCAACAATTTTGTTGCAATAAAAGTCAAACATAATTTTTAATCGCATAATTTTTAATCGAGCATGCAGTAATTTCGGTCATAATTCTGTATAGTCCGAGATTAGAAGAATTTTGTTGCAATTGTTACTAGAATATATTTTCTCCGTATATCATAAATTCATCATACACCGAGAGAAGAAATATCTAAAAAATAAAAAATATTTTTTTCGAATACTAAGAACAATTACTTCCATGAAAAGCTGAGGTTTTAAGGAAACGTACATTTCCTTATTTGAAAAATATTTTATTAGTGTGAGTAAATGTGTTATACATAGTATTCACCAAGTGAATATTTTTTATTTCTTATAATGACTGCACACAAGCAAAGACTGCGCACAAGTCAGCGTCGGCATCTTCGTCGGTAATGAGCTTACCAAAGAGGTCAAGCTTATTGAACAAGAAACGCGCTTCCTTGTGCACGGATTTGTGCTCTCCAAAGTCGCGGGATTATGCTGGAGTTTCGTTTGTGCCTCGTGCGGCTTCGATAGGCAAAATCGATAGGTCACTCCGGTTCCCGCCCCAATTAAAGAGGAATATTGCTTATCGACGATGAAATCGCTCGTTAATCGACTTAGCGTAGCAACATCTTGCCGTTATACACGCCACGGACGTGTCTATACAACAGCGCATCGCCGAGAAACGTATCGATCAGCCGATCGCGTATCTCCCGCGCAAAAAATATATATATATATTCGCTCTGCAATATTGCGCCGCACGCGCGCGCGCGACAATACGAGAATATAATGGCGTGTGCGTGTGCCTCGTCGACTTTGAATCGATTTCATCCTTCGTGAGCTTCGAAAGCTGCTTGTTCAGACGTGACACGTATGATACGTTGATTAGCCCGCGGTTAGCCTGTTAAATAGATTAACCCGTCACTTGTAGGGGGAATGAATTATAGCGATATACGTGCAAATATAGATTATCGTCCGCGACACCCCCGGCCGCGATTTCGCGAGAAGAAGACGCATGGCCGCGCGTCCGCCGCGAGAAAAAGCGCGAGACGCGGCTTTTGGATGAAAATATTTCACTAGTGTGTCACGTGCTTAAAAATATACGTTTGGAAAGGTACACATTTGCGACGATCGTCGAGTGTGTGGAACGAACACGGGCGCGACGAGCACACACCGCCTGAAACAACTTTCGTAAATACGGACGTATACCTCTGCGCTCTCGCAAAGGACCTCCGTAACGGAACGAAAGTACCTGACGAAAATTCTGATCGG